ATTCACTTCATGTTTTTCATTACAGAGTTGAAGGACTTGGGACATTACAGATTTTGAGGGATGTCCAAGTCTCATGTGCCACAATTCTAAATTAGACTTATACTTTGTGGCATCTTTGGACTGAGCAACAAAAACAGAAGGTCTAGATTTAATTGAGTGAACAGACTTTGAGATAGGAAGCTGGCCAGGTAGCTCAATCTGATACAGTCCATCTTTAATTCTCCCTTCCAGCATCACCTCCTTGGTCTCCTTGTCCTTAACAACACAAGAGTCTTAATGAAATTCCATGAATACTCTATTATTAGAAGTTAACTGTGAAACACTTAGCAGACTTTTTTTGATTGAGGGAACTAACAAAATATTGTTAAGTACTAGTGACTTGTTATTTCGTGTATTGAGGTGATTTGTGCCAATATGAGAGATATGAAGTCTATTACCATTGCCAACAACAAGTTTTTGTTTACCACCATACTCAAGTGCATCGGTCAGATTTTCCTTATAAGCTGTGACATGATTGCTAGCACCTGAGTCTACAAACCAAGTTGGATCAGTCACAGCTCTGGAGGAAGCTATAAGAGCAGCTGGTTCTGAGGAGTTCTGATAGTTCAGGTTTGGCACCCATATATCTTTCATCAAACCGGTTGAAACACTTAGCTGCTGTGTGATTGTTCAAACCACAGATCTGGCATGCATTTTTGTTAGCAAATGGTCTACCTCCTCTACCTCTACTTCTTCCTCCTCTATAGCTATTGTTTCTACCGGCATAGTTTGGCCTTCTTCCTCTATTAATATTTGAGTTATGGATTAAATTGGCTGAGACTTCACTTAAGTTGACTGAGGCTAAGCCATTTTTTAGAGTGTTGAGGTGCTCAATTCTGCTTTCATAAGTCATGAGCACTGACTGCAATTCATGCCAAGATATGGATTCCCTGCTATTTATTTGCACCACTATAGGAGTATATTCTTCATCCAAACCGAAGGGTATTGAATACTGAAGGGTATTGAATGCTCATTGTAATGTATTGTGGTGGCTTACCGGAAGGCATGACAAGTTAGTTATTGTTGATGAGCAGAATATCTTTCAGTGGAACATAGATACTTCAAAGAAGACTGCTCAGGTATGGCTCATAAAATAATTTCTTGAGTAGTGTGCTGGCTAGATGATTGCATATTCACAACATGGAGAGCTACAATTCACCGTACTAATTTTTCTAAGGGATTTCCTTTGATTTGTATTTCATTTTGTAGAATAAGTTACTGGGTACATTTGACATTTATCATTAATGTTTTTGTCATCGTTTTTGTGAAATATGTGTGGGTTGTTGTACCTTGATTTATATTTTTTTCCACCTTGGTTTCACATGTTCAACATCTGATAAGAGTTATTATTACTGGAAAGGGACCTTAAGATCATCATAATGGTCTTGTCCCTTTTGATTTCTTGGGTTAATTCTTATTCAGGTGTTGCTGCAAAATCTAGGTACAATCACAAAAATCTTCAGGCATGCTTCATTATTTATCTGGTGGGGCATGGGATGCACATGATGTAAATACTGTTGCCTTGACTCGTGATTTATCAGTTCAACTTTGGGATCTGCGTACAATGAAGTAAGTTAATATCGAATCTACATCTCTACCTAATTTTGATCAATAAACACATTCAAGCTGTTTTTGTCTACGACCTTACTTGAACAGGATCTATCCTATAGGCTTGTATCGCTGTATCCTTGAGTTCTAAGGAGACATGAAAAAAGTCTGGTGTATGACATATGGAAGCGAAAAAAAAAAGCTGTTGTTTTTGTCTTGATGTCAGCCAAGCAAATTGTAAAATTGAGCAACTGCATTTTATATATCCCGTATATACTTGATAATAACTTGTCACTATTGTTTGACAGTTACTATATCGCTTTTTCGCTTTGCCACCACATTCGGTTGATATTGTGACATTTTGCCATTTTATGGTGAACGGTGCTTCTGCTCAGTATTTCATATTAACATCTCTAGCTCTTTAAATTTTGATTCCCATCTATTTGTCTAAGTTTTCTCCATTTCACTTAGTTGATGCTTGTAAGCTCCAATTACCTGAAAAATAGGTTCATATTAATCTGATGATAAATTGACTTCTAATTGTTTGAAGTGATTTTCAGTGTTGACTATAAATATTAATGTTCACTTGTTTTCAGGACGACTAATTCAATTCAGCTCGCTCACGTCCGTAATGTGGATTACAACACCAAAAAGAAATACATGCCTGTGAGTGTCCAGCTGTGAATTCATTCAAGCATTTCATTGACCCAACAATTTGCAATAATGCTAGTTATGAGGATGTTGCGTTCAAGTGCATCTGCACAGAATGCTTATAATTACACACCACATTGATGGGTGGCTGGCTTATAGAGATATGTATTGTGCATGCACACACCTTTATATATGGGATTTGTTTCACATTAGATTGGCAGGCTGGTTTCCCCATTATTTGCTTCTTGCTTATTGACCACTTTAGGAGTGAGTTTTTCTACATCAATTACGTGCTTTACTTTTATTTCTAATGATTATCTTTTTGTTCAGAAGACCTTTCTTTATTTCCATTTCATGCATGTTGTTTCAACTTCTCAATCACGTTGTCTTGATATAAAATTGACGGACACAGTAATGGAATATTATACTGTCTCCTAAATTATCCAACCCGTTCAAGAACTTATCTAAATTTAAAATAACAAAGATGCTTGAGGAATGTTAAAATGCAATATGCAACTATATGTCTGTATAAAAGTAACTTTTCTATTGAAGATACCAACTAAAAAAGGCTAGTTATCCTTAGGAGTAGTAGAATGTGGATCAACCTGCTGACTGCTAAGGGTCCTCATTATATTGTGTTTTGTCAATTTTCTCCATTAATTACAATTTATAATTAACAAAACGATGACAGCAATGGGGAACCAACTTTCATACTTATCCATATTCTTCTCTTGATTTTTCTTAACGTTTCTGTAAATTTTCTTTCTTTAATTGCAATTGAAGGAGGTATGAAAGTTGAATGCAGAAAAAAAAAATTAAGGCTTCAATCCTTTCTCTATCCCTCTCTTTAATAGACTGGTTGACATGTCTCAGGTAACCGCTGAAGATGAGACTGGGATACATAAATGGGACCTCAGAAAACCGAAGTACCTAGTCTCTGAGCTCCCTGGACATTCACATTGGTATTTTTGTAAATAATGATACATCCCTAGTTTAATTTTGGGTATCCATTGATGTCTGGTGTCTTCAAATGGTATTTCTGTTGTATTCGTTCCCTTCTTTTATGATAGTTTTTGTTCCTTTCTATGCACACTCAAGTCTTGTATCCCCATAAAGCACAATGAAGCTTGCCAGGCTAGCCCCTATAAGAAAAGAATGCAATTCTCTTGTTTTTCTAATGTTTGTTATGTTATGATGATAGTTCTAAGTGGATCTTTTAATCATTTATTCATTAATATTGATTATTTGACAAGTCAAAAAATATTGATATTGTTGATAAGACATGGACAGTTAAATGTAATCCGGAATATGAAGACTTGATTCTAGTTCTCCCGCTCTTTCTCTCTCATATCTTTTCTCTTGAACGATTTTCGCTTAAACTTATGCTTCTTAGAAAGGGCATGAGTCATTGTTTTATTGCTAACAGTACCAAATTGTCGTAGAGTGCTGGAACTGACTCAGCTGTCAATTTATGGTTGGTTCCTCTGAACAGTGATGATTATGCTTCTGACAGGTGTATATTATCTTGACAAGTCCAATTTCAATGCCATTATTTGGCTATTATGTATTCATCATTATTTCTAATTTTGGCAGCCTGGTGGAATCACCTACAAGGAGGGTACATGTGTTGCTTCATTCATACACTGATTATGAAGAGTGTTTATGGTATTGTTACAAATCAGAAATTCTTTCAGATTTAGTACTTAACTCTACTTAACTAGCTTTACTTGGCTGCAGATCTTGCTTGGAGTTCTCGAGAACCCTGGATATTTTCTTCATTGTCTTATGATGGGAGGGTAAAACTGCTTTTACTTGAAAAAATATATATATTAGTATATTCTTATACTTCCATAATAGTAGATCTAGTAATAAACCGAATGGAGTAGTGGAAAAAAGTTCTTGTAACCAACCCCGTACTATTGGAACAAGGCTTAGTTAATATTTCAAATGGAAAACTTGCATCGTTGTAGATCACGAGTATCAGATGTTGTTGGTGTTTCCATGACATATTCTCAGCGTTCTATAGTATTCTTCATCTTGGCTTTACATTCGCGTGAACAATACTTCTAGTAGGTGAACATGACATTTTCTTTTAGGTCAATGCATATATTATTTTCGGTATTGTTGTCTACCCATATTGAAAGGAAGGGCTTACTAACGATGGGAGAATATAAAAGCAGAGTCTAACTTATCCAAGTACTTGAGTCAGTTTTTCAATCTGTGCCTAGTTTTTCATCTACCATTTATGCGAACACACATCTGTTGTATCAAGTAGGTCATTCCCAATTTCAGATACAAGTTACAGCTAGAATATAATTCCTTTCCTCATTTGACTCGATAACTAAAGGAATATAGATAAAGTTAGCTCTGTTGAGCATTGATTGCTTTACCATTTCTCCACATTTCAGTTCGTTATTTAAGCATGGGTTATAACATCGTTAATTCCGTGTGATGCAGGTAGTTGTGGAATCAATTAAACCCCATCTTCCTAAGAAATGAATCCAAGCAAATGCAGTAGGTGAAAATTCTTAGTCTTATCGAGGCTCTATTGCTTCACAATGACGACCCTCTGGTATGGTGTCTTTTCCCAGGCGAAATTTTCCTTCAGAGCGTTTCGAAGTTTTTAGTTCGTGGTTAAGACCTACATGGTGTTTTAATTCGTGTTGGATTGGCTGTATGAAGTGTGGTAGTCATATATTTCTCATTTGGTGATTTGGAGGGAAAAAAGTCTTGATGCCTAGGAAAATTGATTTAGCCCCTGTTTGTTGTAGATTAAAATCAGATTTTTTGTATATTTTGATAAAAGTTGATGAAATGTGTGGTTGAAAAGTTGTAGATCCCATGAAATGTGCGGTTAAAATTAATTGTTGACTTTAATTTAAGATTAAAATAAGATTTTAATTTGTACCAAACAGGGGCTTAGTCAACTTGTTATGTTTGGAAAATCATTCAAATGTTAAAATTGAAATATTATATTAATAAGATGATTTTACCCTTTATGTAATGTAAAAAAAGGAAAGGACAAAAATAATGAAAACCAAAAATGGAAAATTGATTTAGTTAGCTTGATATGTTCGAATCCTGAGACATAATAGAAATCCGTAAAGGGTAAGATGATTTTAGACTCTCTCGGAACAAATGATACATAAGTTAATGGATTAGACATAGATGTCAAGTCGTTACATAACCCTAATTCAATTTCTACCCCAAACAAAAGTTTACTTCTTCAGCTATTGCTTCATTCTTGCGCCATTGCCGTATGAGCAATATCACAGTGCTGCAGCAATTTGTGGTGCACCAACACAGTGACACACTTGCCAATTTCAGCGTCGGATGATGGTTGGTGGTGGTGATGAGGTTGGTGTGATTTGTATGTCTGTAATGATTATTGGTGCGGGTTGTAGCACGGTTGCGGCTATGGAGTGTTGGAGGTGGTGGTTTGTAGATATGAGGTGTTGACTGCATGTTGGGTGGTGTCAGCGGTGGAGTGCGGGTGGTTCCAACATTTTATGTCATTGTGACTGTGACGTTCTGTGATTGTGACTGTGACGTCACTGTTACCATAAATTGTATGTTATTTTGACATTAATTTATTTAATTAATACTACTTGATTTTTAAAAGAATTTTATAAGTTTGTAATTGCATCTTTAAAGATTGATAGTTATATATTTTTTCCTATTCTTTTTTTCTTTCTTTCTTGCATTCTGTCCATCTTGTATGAGCTTGGCCCTTTTGGTTTGTCCTGCGATTGAGTTCAAGGGAAGTGTTTCACCAAAAGTTGACGTAAATAGCACTTAATAGTGCCTTTTGTGAATATCTCAACACTCTTTCAGATATTTGCAATTATATTTACATCAAAATTTATATTTGTTACACCATATTTTAATTGCATTCTATATTCTTAATCTTTGCTCATACTGCACTTATATCATCAATATTTTTTTTTTGCTTTCTTATCATCAATTAACATATTTCAAACCAAGCTGACAGATATTTATATAGATTGTTGTTATTGGGAGAAGGGTATGTTAATTTATAGAAGGTTAAATATAAGAATGCAACAAAAAAAAGAAACGTAAATGCAATGATGAACAAAGGCTGAACACATTCCTTGTTTAAAATGGTCTGATAATGAATATTGTTGTGTGAATATAATTATCATGAAATTATTCAATAAAGGAAAGGAAAAGGAAAAAAAAAAAAAGATTTACCAGTGGATTTTCAACCTATGCAAAATAATACGTTTAGATCTTTAACCTCTAACAAAATGAAGCATTTAGGTTGTGAACTTTTCATGTTTTTATCATTTAGGTTTCTATTAAACAAAATTGCTCATTTAACAGTTAAAAATTGAAATTATGTGCTTAGAATTAAGAATAATGCTATTTACAGTCGTTCACTGTCATAGTCGTTTACAT